TTTTTGTACAGTGCATAATTCAGTTTATGAACAATATCAAAAAATGACGTTGCGAGCAAAGTTATAGCTGAAGTCAAGATCTACAACTTAGCAAATAAAATATTTGATCAAATGTATTAAACTATTGTGAAAACCGTTGAACACCAAAAAGGACGTCAAAAGTAACTAAAAGTAAATGTGCCACCCCTAATCGAAATTACTATTTAGATTTGATTTAGCTATTCGTCTTCATTGAAAAATCTCAACGACAAAAAGGGGGCTATAATTTTGTTATACCCTGTATACATTCAACAGTCCTTTAAAATTGTGTTTCGCAAAAAAAGAAAAACGAAAGTAACGATTTAACTATATATTTACCAATAAAGAAATATAAATATTGAAGATCATATGGTAAATTTTTTCCATATTTAGCATTTTTATGAGCAGCCTGTGAAGAGGAAAAAAAAAAGAATTTTAATAAGAAAATTTTTTTATTTACTCTTATTGGAATTGTTTCACCAAGTACAAATATTGGTTCGACACGTGTATCAGGATCTTTATCCATAACATTTGGTTTTGAATGATGTTGAAAATGCATATTATTCCACCAATCAGCACTTGCTCCCTATGAAAAACATTATAAATTTCATAGATTTTTAGTTTTTTAAAGCATAACAAACCTTTGTAAAACCAACATAAAATTGATGTAATAAATGATTCCATGAACTTTTTTTAAATACAGATAAATGTCCAAAATCATGTTGAACCCAACCACATTGTGCCTAAAAATAAATATGTTTTGAATAAAAAAACATTCAAAAATTAAATAAATATACTTCAGCAATAACATATAAAACAAGTGTAATTAAATATGGTAACCAACTTGTACCAAATCGAAATATAACAAAATAAGCAGCAAATTCACAAGCTAATATATGTAAACATGTTAGAAAGAAATATAAAACACTTGGTTGAAAAAGTTTCTAAAATAAATCAAATATTATTATTTAATAAATTTAAGAAGAATAAAAAAAAAAAAAAAAAAACAAATTAATTTACTTTCGAAAAAGCCTTTTGTCTTAATTTTTCAAAATCATCTTTTAATGCTTTATCTTCATTAACACTATCTTTGCTTACATCACCAATATAAAATGTTTTGAGATATTTTTCAGCACGAGATATGTCAGGATGAAGAGAATGAAATGCTTCCTAAAATAAGCAAGAATAAAAATATATTTAATAAATTTCTTATATTCTTACACTAGCATCTTGTCCAGCATAATGTTTAAGAACCATTTGTCCACCTGGATGTTTCAACCATTTAGTGACATCATAAACTCGATTATCAATTACAAACCATCGATCTTTATTAGTTGAATGACAACGAATTTCTTCCCATGTAAATTGTCTTATTCTATTTTCATTAGTATTCAAAATAGGATTTGCTGTTGTCACCATAGATGAATCATGTTGTTGATCATCGACGATCGTAGGAGGGTCCCAATTTTTACTACCTTTACCCATTTCAGTTCAATGATCTATAAAAGAAAATGAGAAATGCGAATCTTTTTCTTTTATTTTGTATTAAAAAGTATAATGAGAAGGTTGCATTGACAAGTACTTTCATTACATAAATAACACACACAATCTGTTTTATTTCATTGCATTATGTACGAGTTTTTTCTATAGATTATTCAATATGGATACGAGTTGTTGCATATATTTTCTTTTTAGTTCAAATCTTAAGATAGAAAAAGAAAAGAAAAGCGTCTGAGAAAAAAGAACAAAGTGCATAGCCTTTATGTGTCGTTTTCTTTATTTGATAAACAACAAGACAGAGAAAAAAAAGAAGGAAAAGAAAAAGCGTCACCAATGACGTCAAAACAAATGCAAAAGAAAAATGACAGCCACTAGTACATTATTGCGTTCGAAAGAAAAAGAAATTGACAAGTACGCTGTGATTGTTCTCGACATTACTTAATCTATAGAAAATCGGCTAAGTAGAAAATCTTTTTAAAAGAAGAAAAAGAATGAAAAACTAATCGTCTCGATCGTATTTATTGTCTATTAACATATGAAAAAAAAAAAAGAAAACATATCAGATAGATATAAATATTCTATTATCAGTTTAAAAAAAGAACATTTTGCCAATGTGTGGTTACAGATATGATGATAAGATATTGTTCTCGGTACACTAACCTGTAGTAAAAAAAAAAAAAGTAAAACTCTAGAAAATATTTTTTTTATTATGTAGATAAATAGTACAATAAATAGAACTTCGAATAAAACTAAAAGCATCTATAATTAGACAACAGAATACTCCATTAACTTCTAAATATAATAATTATGAATGTAATTTATCAATCATTTACGTCTTATTTATATATCAAAACTCAGGACATAATAAATGGAAAAAAACAACAACAAAATTTTACATCCATTTTGAAGTTTACTCAAATTTTTCATGAATTTTTGGCTAAAACATGTTGCACTACTGTTCTTCAGCTATATAGTCTTATAAAGAACGAAATTTTGCATGTTTATTTTGTGTCCACATAAGAATTTTGTAACTAAAGTTTAATTCAACAAAAACAAGCTTTATTCACCATGAAGGATATTTTCAATTTTTTCGTAAAGCTTGAGTATCCGAAAGTGAATTAGCCAAACAGAGAACAAAATTCTTTGCTATTGAGATTCTACATACTTTTTCAAACATGCGAGAAATAATGTATTCTAATAGAAATCTATAGGATTGTCATACAAAGGCAAAGTGTTTCTTTTAATGCTATATAAATAAATGGTCTTCAATGAATTTGACTGAAAGAAAAATTACATTTACATTCAGTCTGATTCATTATAACCCACTAGAGAGCTTGTTCGATTGATGTTGGTTAAGAGAAAAATTTCAGATCTAGATAAAGCACTAGCAAATAAACGGCCTCGAGTCATCGAATGCAAAAGAATTGAAAACAAAGTATCTCATATCTTCTCGGCGACTATGTTATTTCGTTTAGAAAATTTCATTGAGAATATAAAAGTACGGTTCGATCGGGTGCGAAAATTTTCCATTCGACAACTTCTATGGCCGCCTACTCCGTTATTACGATGATATACTCTAAATAAATAAAATTAAACGATTAAAAGAATTATTTGTGTCAATGTATCAATACCATTTTAATAATAAATATTTAACCATTTCTTCTAGACTCGTATGATTTCAAGAAAATCGAAGTCATCTCTTCAATTGATCATGATTATATTTTATCTACAAAATGTAAACAAATGAAACCATTAACAACTGACTAGAAAAAAAAAAACTATACACCAAAAAAAAAAACAGCAACACAAATAAACATAAAATCAATTTTCATGAGAAAATCTCTGACGAATAATCGTCAATAGATTATACTTCTCAGCATAATAATAAATAAATAAACCTACAAATAACCATGAAAAAAGTAATGCATAATCAAATGATGGTTCAAATATAGTTGTTACAGGTCCTATTCGATCTTCATATTCAATTGTTACATTATTTGTTTGGTTTAAATCTATAAATTTTAAATTAAAAAAAAATAAATTCATTTTAATTAATTTTATTTTTCTTACGTAATGTTGATTCAATTAGAGATATTAATATTTGTATATCATTCGTACTATTTAATCTTGCTAATAATTTATTTTTTCGTAATATAAATATACTTGGTACAGCATTTGTACCAAAATAAGTCATATAACTAAAACAATAAATAGAATTTCTTAAGAATATTTTCAAAAAAAATTTCTCTATACCGAAGTGATTTTGATACATCATAAGCAACAAAATCTAGACCAGGAAATGAACGTGGTATAGCATTAAAATATGGTGCAAAACGAATAGAAAAATGACACCAACGAGCAAAAAATAAAAGTACATAACAATCAAAATGTGTAGGTGCACGCATTAAATAATTACTATCAACAAGTTGTACATGATTTGTATAATTATCTGTTATATTATGTAATTGACATGGTATAAATGTTTGTTGTAATGAATTTAAAGATGTATTATTAGGTAAAATTATTGATGAACATTGATTAACAATAGGAGGAGTATAATGAAATATTTCATAGATTGATGATGACATTGTTGAAATTATTCGTATTTTAAAATGAAAAATCTAAAATAAAAGTAATAATAGATTTCTTTATTTATTACCAGTATAATTAAAAATTTTCTTTTAAAAGATTTCCACGAAATAATTTTTCAATGTTTAACTGAATATAATATTCGTTAATATATCACTCAGAAACAAAAAAACAACAATTTTATTTTATATTTGAGAAAAAAAAAATATACCAAAATTAGAATTCAACGTTTTTTTCCCCCTCATCAATGCATTGAAGGTCATCTTAAATCAACTCATGAAATCCTGTCCTCTTGAGACTGAAATACAAGAATAGATTCCATTAACGCACATGAGCCATTCTTTTAACTCATTCTATATCAGATCGCTATTTAATAATTTTATTTAACGGAAATAAAAAACAAAAATCTTATGTAAAATTTTCTCCTTTCAGAAATTTAATTTAATTTCTATTTTTTTTATCAACCTGTACATACATCTTTCAAATTCAATAATTACATTTTGAAGTTTTTTTTTTTTCGTTTCAAAAGAAAAACACTTTAATCAATAAACAGAAACTGTGAACTGCAATCATGTCGCTGAATAGTTATTCGAAAAAATCTTATTTATTCAACTGAACGAAAAGAATTTCTTGTTTCTTATTATAGATTCACAATAGAAACTATCTTATATTAAGACTGAGATGAAAATTAACTTTCTTGGAAAGGTTTCAATGTCTAGCAAAGAACTTATAGATCAAACAAGAACATGTCGTACTTCATCTCGAATAGTGTCATATAAATCAGTACTAATTTCCTCTATTGAAAAAGTTTTCTTTTCATATATAAAATTACTTTCAAAAACAATAGATATACATCTTACTTTTTTAATGTTTCTTGTTCAATCATGCAAGTAGATATGAAGTCTATAAAATTGTTTTCCTTTCTGTATTCGTCAAAAAAGACTGACTAATAAAAACATATTATTTACTGTTGTATTTTTTTTAAATTGAACTCATGGTTATTGTTTTTTTTGTTTCTTCTATTGTAATATTACTTAATATATTATTAAATAAAACTTATCATGTTTATAAATACTTTCTTTGAATTGAGTGTAGCGACATAATTTAATAGAGGAAGAATTTATAGATTTAAAAATGTCAATCTTCTTTACATCAATTTATTTGACATTTATTAAAACCTTTTGAGTTTTTATTTTATTTTAGATATGTCTTATGATTATTATGGATTTATCATAATATTATTTCTTGGTTTAACATCAGCAAATTCATGTTGGAATACAATATTTAATAATATAACATATGGTCATATAGAAAATATAAATTTTTATATCGGACAATCTCAAACAAAAAATTTATCATGTTCATGGATAATAAATAATGAAAAACAATTTAATCAATCATATTATATTATATCATTACGTTTAATTAAATTAGAAAATGATCATACATTATGGTCAAATGAATTAATATTAAAAACTGATAATAAACAAATTATACTTGATGATATTAATCAACGAACATTTTTTATTCCATCAACATCAGCTATTTTAGAAATTTATTTTCAATCAAAATTACAATCAAATAGTTTAAATATTCATCGATTTTTACTTGAATTTATTCATATAAATAATAATAATAATATTGATAATAATAATGATTATTTTCATTGTCATAAAAGTGGTTTAATTATACCAAAACAATGGAAATGTAATTGTTTATATGAATGTTTAGATGATGATCATAGTGATGAAGAAAATTGTCCATTATGTCCTATGATTAAAACATCAAATAGTTTATTATGTCGTTCTAATGAAACTTGGTGTTTACCTATGACAAATCATACCGATCAAATTGATCCGAACGGTAATTATAAACTTCAAAAAGAAAACAAAAAATTCAAAATTTATATTGCGTGATAGATAATTCTACAGGGAAAAAGTTAACACCTTCTAAAAGCAAAGCCAATTTTCATTGGAAAAATCAAAATAAATGCCTGGACGGATCGTCTCATTACGCATTTCAGAATTCTCGAAGGAACGTCATTGCAGCCAATTGTTTTTGTTTGAAAGATCATACAAGGTTACAGTGACCCTTTTTTTCTTATGACATAAGCTAAGAACTTCTGTAAATAGATGATCGTTTTTTTCAATGAATTGAACTTTTTATCCTTTGTTTTCATATAAAAAGAAGGGGAAATACAATCTGACAGGTGCTTTTAAATAGAGAAGAAAAATAATTCTATAGAATGACAGACGACAGAGAATTTTGGATTGTCAAATGAGTTTTGTTTGTTGAATATTTTCTGAAAATGTCATGTGATTTGAATGCATCTGGCGCCCAACTGATTTCTAGAAAGGATCTTAATGTTTTGAAGCCCACCGTACTTTATAAAGTACGATTGTCTCTATGATATAGAAGAGATTTCGATGCATACATCTGTGTAAGAGTTATGATTTTAATTAAATTATTCGGGTAGTAAGCCTGATAGATCTCTTTGGAATAGTACTTCTTTTCTTAAAAGTAGGAGTACGGATAATGTCTTTTTGCAGTTCACACAATATTTCGATTATCCTTGTTGAAATCAAGATAGGAGTGACTCTTAGTTATTCACCAAAGATTGATTTGACGATAGCTCTCAATCGAATTTTGATCATCAATTGTACTTGTCCACGGGAGTGATCAAAAGATTTCTTCACCATCCCCGTAGGAGAGTTCCAAAATGAGTAGAATGATTTTGATGAAAATATCAACAATTCATACTGTCTATAATTAAATATAAAATCTCAAAGAAATTTCGTCAATCAAAAATTTTTTTTCGGGGTTAATACCGAGATCTTCCTTTCCATGTTGTAGATAGTCTGTGAATTTGATCTTTGAAACTACATTGTATAATCTATTCACTTCTATTTATTATATGTCGATTAATAATGTATTTGATAAAGTTAATAAAACATTTAAACTTCATATAGAAAAAATAAAAATGTAGATAGATGTATTCTTTGTAATTTGTTTGAATAAATTATTTTTATAAAAAATATTTTATTACAATTGTATATTCTGATGATTATATTATGAAACAATGAATAAAACTAATGAGAAAACTGTCTACTATAAGACATATGTCTTGGTAATTAAAAATATGAGAAAATCATTGTAAATGATAAATTACTATTGAGATAAGACTAACATAATTAATTGGAAGCCAATGACGAATAGAAAAAGTATGGAATGATATACGTTAATTGGTTTGTATCCTTGACTTGTGACTATTTTACTAGGTTTCTATATTCAATGTGAAAAACAAATTCGTATTGTCGGAAATTCTTTCGACATAAAACAATTCGGAAATCTTCTTTTTTTTTTTTGAGTTTTGCGATCAACTTAAAATTATTCCTTGTTTTTTACTATGAACAATCAGTTGCTTTAGCTGAAACTATTGTAACATTGTTGTTAAAACCAAAATAACTCCTGATAAGAATATGTTCAAATCCATATTCTATGATACGATGAAAGAATGATCATGATTCAAGATTAATGTTTTATTTATGGCTCGTTTTGATGAGAAAAAAATTTTTTTTTGTTTTGTAACACTTAACTCGTTCCATAAGATGATTAATCGAAAGAAAAGCTATTCGTTTAGTTAATACTAAAGTAAATAATTAACGTCTCACACCCTACTTTTTCTACTTACAAAATAATCTTACGAAATTGACATAGAATCTAATAGATATATATAATTTATTTTTAAATTTAAGGTGTTTGTATTCCACATGAACAAAATCCTCAATGTTCATATTCATCAAATTGTGAAACAATTATATCATATTATAAAGATTATGGTGAAATTATAATTGATAATTCAACACTTTCTGATCGTCAATCATTATGTTTTATAATAATTACTAAAGAAAAACATAAAATAAAATTAATTATTAATCAATATAATTTTCTTATTCAACGTCCTGATTTAGAATTCTTTGTATATGATGGTAGTGAACAACAAAATCAAATACTTTTTTCATCTAATATGTTAACATTAAAACAAACAATACAAACACGTGAAAATCATCTAGCAACAATTATAATACGAAAACGTTCAATAGAAAATATAAATACAGTTTTTATAAATCCACAATATTATGTAAATAATATTCTATTTAATATTACATGGTTAACAAGTTTATGTCCATATAATCAAATGCTTTGTAGTGGTCATTATGAAACAAAATGTTATACACTTAAACAACGATGTGATGGTTAGTTTAATAAAAACAAAAAAAATAATACAAAATTTTAAAGTATTTTATTTATATATAATTTAAAGGTATTTGGGATTGTATTAGTGGTGATGATGAATTAGGTTGTTTACCAGCATCATGTCCAACAACATTTGCATGTAATGATCCAATACGTGTACCATCTGATCAACCAAGATGTTATACATGGTTTGAACGTTGTAATGGAAATGCATTTTGTGTTAATCGTAATGATGAAAAAAATTGTACAAATTGGTGGTGTAATTCAAATAATGGAACTTTTCTTTGTAAAAATTTAAATTGTATTTATGAAACATGGGTTTGTGATGGTAAGTTATAATTATGTAAATATACTTAGTAGACAAAGATGAAACATCAGTACCCACATGTCTTATTATCTGAGAGATGATGTATAATGAAAATTGACGACGTCAAATATTATTATTCATAGATGATATAGTACGACAACTCATCAGTTGATTGTCGATAAAGATTTCAGACTGATTCCATCTGTGATGGTAAGATTCAAAAGTCTATGCCCTTGCATAAGCAATTTTTCTGATAGCTTTGGAACGAATTTTTTAAGAACTCTGTAGAAGATGAGAAGCGAGCTTTGCATGTCATAAATATTCTTGCTTTGAGGAGAAAGTGTTCGTCTGATAGAGATCATTCGTTGAATTAGCAAATACAAAATCACTTAGATAAAAAGTGAACATAGTACATTTTAGGATAGGTGCAGTAATGACCGACCTCGCAATATCATTGCTGTTGAGTATAAGGTTCTGAGCAAAACAATGGCACAAAAATGTTTGATGATCGAAATGTACACATATCTCCTTGCAACGCTAATATTAGTATACGGAAACTGATGGATGCGAATATCAAAAGGTCAATTTAATACAAAAACAAAAATTCGAGTTAAATAAACTTTGTTGGCCGAACGTCCCATAAAAATCATCGTGTAGAATAGTTTAAGTATCATGAGCCTAATCGATGAGTATTCATTCAGAACTGTGATTTTTGTTTGTCATTTTGATATTCTACAGACTAATACTTTTTATTCCAGTGACCAAGACAATCCGATGTCCACTTTAGTATCATCAAAATTCGTAGCACATAGTCAAGATCTTAGTGAGAAGTGTCAATAGTTAGGGCGATTACTTTGAATATTTAATTGAAATAGAAACTTGTTTTCGCATTTCCTTTTTTTGTTCTATCATCACAATGTTTTTTTTATACTCTAATATGTAGAGACGGCTCAGCAATGTAGAACATTATTTTTACTATCAGAATATATAATCGGCTTGTCCACGTAACGCGCTACTTCGCTGCCCAAGTTTTAAAAATTTTTTTTTCGATATGGACACATCTAAGCGTATTTTCTGGTACAGTTTTTTACGCTGATTATGAATTTGGCCTTTTTTCTTAAAACCAATTGGGTTTTGGCATCGAAAACCGGGTTTTAAAGTTTTCAAAAATCGTATTTTCAATTTTCTAACCAAGAAATTTAAAACAAATATGCAGAGTAATATACCATTCGACGCAGAATTTGATTCTCTACAAAATGGCCTATTCATTTTTTACTCTCATTCCTCATGGCAACTTCTAAGCTCTTGTACAGTTTCTAACTTCCTGCACAATTATTCAGCCCCCATTTCGATGTAGCTGCTTGATAATTTTACAGAACGATATATGTACGTGAACGTTAAATATTTTTAAGCATGTTAAGTGGTTCAAATTTGGTCGACAAAAAAACGTGTCACAACGTTACGTTTGTTTTTTGCATTTTTTATCTAAGCAAAAATAGTTTAGAAAAAATATTTTTTACTGCTTGAAAGCCCATTCAATTCTCTACAAACCTGGAACCATAAGCAATTCATTTGAAGAAATACTTTGTCAAAAAAACTAGAGTTTTATAAGCAGCTCTAGAGAAAAAGGGTCTTTTTTTGTCACAGCGTTACGCGATGATAAAACCTTTCTAGAAGTGCGATAGTTCAGTCAAACTAGGTTGTTCTTGCAACATGAATAGAGTTATGATAAGCTGCGTCGAATGATGTTTGAACGACCTTAGTAGCTCTTATGCCTTTCGAGATAACTGCAAAGCAATTTGTCAAAAATGTCACAGCGTTACGTTTGGACAAGCCGTAATATTAAAATTATAATGTTTTTTTTAATTAAATCTAGCAAAAACTTCTATGAATATTCAATTTTATTTTCATAGGTACTAATGATTGTGGTGATAATTCCGATGAAATTAATTGTCCATATCGTATTCCTCGTCGAATAATGTCAGCTGCTGTTATTGGTGCTACTATGTGTTCAACATTATTAATTATAGCACTTGGATGTACTTGTAAACTTTTACATTTACGTTCAGCTGAACGACGAGCTTCATCACGTTTATTAAATCCTCAACAATATATTCAACATCGACGAGAAGAACTTCAACGGCAATCAACTCAACAACAACAACCAATAATAAACAATGATAATTCATCACCTGTAACAGATGATACACGACGTATTGCACCACCATCATATAATCAAACAATGGGCTATTCTAATGATGATGAAGAACGACAAGTATTAATTGCAGAATATTTAAGATTGGCTGGTTTAGATAGTTTTATTCCATTACCATTTATGAATTCTAACTCAAGAACATCAAGGCATAGAAATCGAAGACACAGAAGACATCGTCGTCGTCATTATCATTATCATCGAAGCGAAAATGAAGGTAATATAGAACAATTTTTTATGATCATTTTACTAGTTGAACAACAGTTTTCTATCAAATTTATTTTTAATAATCCATAACTCAAAAAAGATATCCATCAAATTATGAAAAATTTACGATATTTATTCAAAGTCACCAAGGAACGTTCTTACTTGGTCGTTTCCGTTTGATATTCTATTAGATCTTCTTTATTGAATTATGGTTTGAAATATTGTTCATTAAAAATTTCATAGTTACTAGATTGTTCTAAAAATTCAGCCAAAATGGATGTTTTTTCTTTCTTAAGATTTCAAAACATGATTGTATTTCATAATAAACATTCCATAATCGATTTTCTTTTTAACCTTTAATTTCTGGCTGAAAATTTTCTAGAAGAAAAACACATAATAACAAATCCTTTTAGACTTCTTCTAGTCTCACATAGTCCTACTTACAGAAATAAATACGAACTTGAACGGAAGCTATCAATTGATACTGCTTTTCTATCAGTTGAATAAATAATAAAAATAGTCTATTGACTCTATAGAAACATCTTCAAGTGTACTGCCTTTCAAAATAAATAAATGTTTGACAATTAGCTTTAGTACTCATCTCATTAATTTCTATTATTTTTCTTTAGATTCTCGTATTCCTTTGATTGAACCAAATCCAACATATACAAATCCGCCTCGATTATTAACAAATCGTTTTGGTCGTTTTCGTTCTCGACTTCGTTCTCTATTTACAAGAAATCTTTCTATAAATAATAATAATATTATTTCATCAAATAATTTAGATACATATGAATGTTATAATTCCTTACAACCGATTGCACTATCTAATCGATCTTTTATTGAATCTCAAGAATTACCACCAGCTTATTCTGATGAACCATTATTATCAATTCATCATGAAAATGATATTCAATCAACAACAACAACAACTATTCCGACTACTACAACATCATCAACATTATTTTGTATTCGTAAACGACAAATACCTTTAAATACATTATGTGATCATTTAGAAGAACAACCATCATCATCATCCATACCAATAACTACAATTCAAGACGATGAACAAGCTAGTAGTGATGATGATAAACTTTTAATGCCTTGATATGTACATACTTTATTTATACAAAGAAAAAAAATTCTCTCTCTTCTTTTTTTTTTTTGTTTCCTACTAACTCGATCTGATGTTGTCATGAAAGAAAAATATCTTTATTCCAATTTTGTGCGTGTATTACAGTGATGTTTTGTTTTTCTCTGCGCTTGTGCAGTAATAACTAATGATATACAGTGCTTCTTGTATTTTTCTATATGCTCACAAACAAAACAAAAAAAAAATGCAAAATTTTTTTTTTTTTTGATTTTACCGTTAATAAAGAAAAAAAAAGACATTCGATTATATTCTCTGTTGGAAATTCATTGATATTCATAAAATGAATCTATGCTGTCTGTTTCTTATTTATCATAAAGAAGAAAAAATTAATTCACAACTCAACTAATTGAGTCCAACTGAGATTCCAACTGGTTAAATTGTATGTGCATAAGATTAGTAATAGGAGGAAGAATGTTTTAAAGAAAAATGATGTCATTACTAACATTATCATTTCGAATGAAAGCAAGAAAAAAAAACAGAATACTAAGCTACATTCGATAGTGTTTAATAACTAACTGAAAGACAAGAAAATGGAAACATTTTTCTTTTTTTGCCTTTAGTAAAGAAAAAAACCAACGAAGAACACACATAGATGTAAAATAAAATAATTTATAGAATAAACAAGTCAATATGTTTTATTATTATATATTCAATAAACAATTCGTAACACTAAGTGTATTCTCAAGCACTAATAATCGATAATTATATTTTATTATTGCTTGAGAGTATTCCTTAATATTATACGACAAATTCATCTATTTAAATACATTCGTTGATTTTTGTTTTTCGAAAAGTAACGACATCTTTTTCTATTCATGTGAAAAAAACTTTCCGTTGGTTAAATAAAGTTACATTATGCGTCTACTTTCAATTGATTAATGGCGTAGATTGCCTTCTTTAAAAAAAAAAAAAAAATAAAAGAACGAGAACAAAAAAAGAAAGTTTAGTATTCTATTTTGTGTCGAGTATTCAAGCAGAACCAACTTCTACACGTTCTTGTAGTTACTAAAAAAAGAAATTTCAAATGGATATGTTCATACTTGCTCTTGGAATTTTAATAGTTGCATGTATTATTTTACATTTCTATACTCGACAAGTTCAACAACATCCAAAAGATCCTAATTATCGAGGTTTTCAACAAACTTATTTACTTGTCTATTTATTAGCCGTTGGTAAAAATTTAATAAAAAACAAAAAATAAACATTGATATCTATTCTTACAATATTTCATTTTTTATTTTCTAGCTGGTGATTGGCTTCAAGGCCCCCATGTTTATGCATTATATGAAAGTTATGGAATACAAAAACATGAAATTGAAGTACTTTTTCTTGCTGGTTTTGGTTCAACAAGGATATTTGGTACCATTTTTGCTCCACTCACAGATAAAAAGAAAAAAAAAAAAAAAAAAAAAAAAAAAAAACAACAACAACATATCATATTTTCTTTACTTGAATTTTTTGTTTTGTTATTTAGTGGAAGACGAAATACATGTATCATGTATGGTATTCTTTATGGAATATCATGTGGAACTAAGGTTAATAATTTTTAAGAATTATTCGAACTGGATAAAATATTTTTGTTTGTTTGTTTTTTTCTTTTCATTAAAGCATTTTTCAAATTTCCATATTTTACTTGTTGGACGATTACTTGCTGGTATGGCAACATCAGTTTTATTTAGTGCATTTGAATCATGGCTAGTTAATGAACATCGACGAGTATGAATATAAAATATAAAACAAAAATAAATATTTATTTTGTACTTTTTTTTTCTAGAGAAATTTTGAACCAGAATCATTAAGTCTTATATTTGCTAATGCATATTTTGGAAATTCTGTAGTGGCTATTATATCGGGACTAGTTGCACAATTTGCAGCAAATCAATTTGGCTATGTGTAAGTATTCTTAAAAAAAAAAAAAAAAACTTCAAGATTTTCAAATTATAAAACGAGATGTCTGTATAAGATAAGATTTCAATGATTTAAAACTTCATATCTGACGCAAAAGAAAAATTATTATTATATCGTATATTCTTGGTATGAATATACAAAAAAATATGTCTCACTAGGGAAGGTCTCCAACTGTCCAATCGCTTTTGAGTTTGAACCCTGTGCATAAGATAAACCCCAGTGAAGTATGAAAAACTCCAAAAGGATAACGGCCCTTAGACCTTCTGTTCAGAATTACAGGGATTTTACTGGAATTACAGCCTATGGCATGGTATTTACCAAAATATCGAATGACGATATTTCGGATTGATATTTTGCCCATAGACAGGTCTAGTTGTGAGTAGAATGTCCCGAAAATTTTAGCTCAAAAGAATGTTTCCTTCCCGAGATATTAAAATCTCATATTTCACGAAAGGTGCTAGAATTTTCTGTTTTTTTTTGGACTTTTATATCTTGAGAAGGAAACATTCTTTTGAGCTGAAATTTTCAGGACATTCTACTCACAACGAGACCTGTCTATGGACGAAATCTCAACCCGAAATATCGTCATTCGAGTGGTTGGTAAATACCATGCCATAGGCTAAAATTCCCTATAACTCTGGACAGAAGGCCTAAGAGCCGTTATCCTTTTAGGATTTTTCATACCTCGCTGGGGTCTACCTTATGCACAGAGTCCGAACTCAAAGGCGGTTGGGGAGCTTCCCTCGTCAGTTAATAAGGAAGAATACTCCTGTGCAGATGTAGAGTATTTTGACCTCTTAAAATGCACTAACTCACCGTAAGAATAAATGCATGTGAGTATGCTTTCGAACCGATGATCCGAAACAAATAGTCAGATTTAGGGCACTTTCTCATATGCATATGGATATAGATAAAAATAAGATTCAGATCAGCATTTGTTTTTGCTCAAACTATCAGGATATTATAAGAACAAGAAAATCTATTGTCGAGTAAAATTTTCAGACTAAAATCTCTTGATTCAGTTTTCCTCGTGATATTTTATTAGAGACTGAAATTTAAGTAAAATGATTCGTAATTCAAGAAGCAAGAGTTAGTAGCACAAATTTTGTTTAGAACTTTTATCTGAAGTATTATTGTTTTAGTTAAGCATGAGTAAAACCAATCATTGTTAGGACTTCGGTTCTACTAAGATCTTAATCATATATATAGTCTCAGTATATTATTATTTAAATGGTAGAATTCAAAGAAAGATAGCAGAAGCTTTTGTTAAGTTTTTCAAGCATATAAAATATTTTTTTTGAAAAATTGTTTGTACTGTACTTGAATGCCGGAAATTGTGAAATGTGTAACTATTTCAATCTTGAAAGAATCATTTAAATTTCCGAAAAATTTTTTTAACTGATAGAAAAATTATAAAATATTGACGAAATTCATAATTAATATGATAAAAATTTTTTCTTTTTTAGAGCTCCATTTGATAGTGCTATACTTTCATTTATTGCAATGTGTATTTTATTAATAACAACATGGTCAGAAAATTATGGTGATGCTAGTGCACCTATATCACAGTCATTTATTTCTGCTTGGACTGCTATTAAATCGGGTAAAATAATACAAAAATAAATTCAAATTAAGAATTTATATTATTTAATAAATTTTATAGATAGAAAAATATTTTTTCTTGGTGTTGTTCAAGCTTTATTTGAAGCATCAATGTATGTATTTGTACTTGAATGGACACCAGCATTAACTGAAGCATTAAATATATCAAATATTGATAAAACAGATAATACAAATCCGCCTATTCCACATGGTTTTAATAAGACTTATTATCTTATAAATAGTTTATCTTTTTTCTTTTTGTTTTGTTTATTTTAGGTTATGTATTTGCTGGTTATATGGTTGCTATGATGATGGGATCAAATTCATTTAAAGTTTTTTGTAATTATACAACACCTGAATCATTTATGAGGTGAAGATTTTCTTGGCTTTCTTTTTCTCCTATTTTTAAACTGTAATATGATGAACAAAAAAACATCTTCAATCGATTACATTTCGATTACTACATATATATATATGTTGGAAGTGTGAGAATTTGTATGTAAACATTCAATTAAGAAAAGTAGGTCAAGGATACGAGCTTATCTTCAATGCTTAAATACAATGAGATTAATAATGAAGGATATCTAATAAATTGTTGAAGTTTTTTAACCTAAAAAAGAATAAAGAACTCTCTACTAAATTTTGTATTATTTGTAATTAAATATATGCTCGACTAATGCTTTATATTTTAACATGTAACTTGAATCCAGTTTATAATTTCTCTTTATTCAAAAGATTAGAAAATATGTCCGTCTTTGATTACTCAGTATGAATACTATGATTATTCTCATACTATATCTATTTATTAGAAGGTCATTTTTTTTATAAGACTTGCAGGCAATAAGTTTCTACAGTCATGTTTATTGAACTATTACGGAAATATGATCTTCAAAGAATAACGAATAGACTTTTTTTTTCTCGCTTGATTATTTACAGAAAAATGACAACAATTCTAAAAAAAAAAAAGCAAAAGTTTATATACAATAAATCATTAAAATAAACTTGTATATAATGAAGAATCAATCAATTCTCTTAGAGTACTTCCTTTTTAGAGTTACAAAAGATTATAGGATTAATAAATTCTATTAATCCGAATTTTCATTGTATTTAAGCAATAGAAGTAAGCTCGTACTTTGGACTTGTATTCTTGATAGAATATATACATTGGAATTTTCCGAACACTTGTATATGTAATAAACAAGATTTTGAGTCGATGGAGATTTGTCTACTATTATTTAACTGACATTTCATTGATTTGTTTAGATCAATTGTATTTATTTCGGCTTTATGCTTAAGTGTACCGATATTTATGCCTTATGTAAATTAACATTTGTTAGTATATATATATATATAAATTAATGGTAATTATTTTCTAGGGCCAAGGCATTATGTTTGCAGCATTCTTGGTCTTTGAATTTTGTGTTGGTGTTTTTTGGCCGTAAGTTATTTAATTATTTATGCGTTTGTAATTTGAGAAATCAGAGAAAGGTTTTTCTTTTATGACATTATCACATAGCCCTATAAAATTAGTTTTTTGTTTTGAAATGGTTGAAAGACTTATCTTGTAAAAAATGGTATTGAATTACATTGTTTATTCATTTTTTTTTTTCTAATGGCTTTGAAAAATACAATTGTTCTAGATTCTTAAACATTATAAATAGTTAAAATCTCATTTTTTCCTTAATCTATATTATAAATGAAGTTTCGAAAAATTTTCAATCGAACTATTTTTATATTATTGGTTAATCGTTATCTTTCTTAACTATATAAGCGAAATTATAAAAATAACAAATAATAAATTTTATTTTCATTCTATTGAATAATATTAGAGCAATGGCAACAATGCGCAGTAAATATGTGCCCGAAGAAGGTTTGTTTATTATTTAATTATTTTTTTTCATATACTTCTTTTCTTTTTTTTTTTGAATTTATTAGCTCGTGCTACTGTAATGAATTATTTTCGAATTCCATTAAATTTAATTGTGGTTATAATTCTTCTTAAAGTACAAATAAAAATATTTTATATTTCAAAAAAAAAAACAAAATAATATCTTTCTATTATTTTTAGGATTTTCATTTAAAAGTTATTTTTATGAGTTGTGTATTCTTTTTGGTTCTTGCTGGTATTAGTATGGTTTTATTACATAAGTAGGATAAGATTTTATTTTGAAATACGAAATATTTAATTAAAAAAAATTTTTTTTTTTTTTTTTTTTTTTTCTATTTTAAGATTAACATTAAATATTAAACCAGCATCAGCCGCTGCTAATGTATTAACTGTTGTACAACATGGTATAAAATCAGCACAAGTTGAAAGTACTGATGAAAATCAATCAACTGCTTAATGCTTAAATATCTTTCTTTTTTTTTTTCTTTTGCGTCTCGTTTTTGTCATTTTTTTTTGTTCTCATTCGTGATAAAACTAATCTCTGTCTATCGATTCATACTAACCGAAAACATTTCAATTGTGATAAACAAATTTCATAGTTTATTTTTAGTTTAACTTTATTCATTACTATTTTATTCACATTTTTCTTTTTTCATTATTTTAATTGTTTTCTTTTTTAATTACTAATTAATTAAAAACAAAATATTTAGTTGCGAAAACGAAAAATATAGAAACGAAACGAAACTAAATTAACAAAATGGTGATGTTTATATTATGATTTACTTCATGGCTTTTTTTTTCGCTGTTTTTTTTTCTTATCATCGTACTATACTTTCATTTCTCTCAGGTATATATATATATATAAACGCATAGTGTATCTATCCATTTATAATCGAGGGTTACAAAACATAATATGATCAGTCCGTCAATGCATGCTTTCTTTTCGCTAAAGAATACAATTATCTCTTCTATCGAAATCAGTATGTTATATGAGAGAGATAGAATAGGAAAAGAAACAGCAGAAGATTCATACACGTTTAACATTCACTTTCGTTAGTGTGCGTTGTTGTGAACAAAATGATCGAGATAAAAAACCTGCAGGTATGTGTCAGAAATGAAAAAATAAAAGAATTCATATCTTTTTTTGAATAAAAAAAAGAAATCATATATTTCATAAATTATTGATATATCGTCTATTGTTTTTTTTTTAAATAATTTTTGTGAACTTTGTACTTTTGTCTTCTTCTATAACATCTTTGTTCTTTTCTAGACTTTATTATCATTTATCATTGTACAATTTCAAATAAATCATGACAGCAACCACAGCACAAATTTTTACCATCATAGGTATTTTATGTGCACCTATGATTGGCATAGCTGGTCTTGTACTTATACTTGCAGCATTAAATTTATCACTTGGTATAAGAAGACTTTATGTTAAATTATTAGCATTCATATTTGATTATGCAACAAAAATAAAACGAGATAAAGAATTTTCAATTGATTCTAATGCAACTTCTGATGAACCTCAAACACCTTCAACAAGAACAACAACAAAAGGAACAGATAAAATAACATCATCTATTGAGAAAAAAATACAAGATAATCCAATTGAAATATCTTCAGAAACACCATTAATAAGTGATTCAAATAATGAAATTAATATTAAAGATGAATTTGAATCATCACATGAAATAACATCAACAACTGACCATGAACCACAAGTATCAAGAACTCCATCACAAACTGATATTCAATTTAAATTAGGTAAGAATTTTTATTTGAGTTTTATCATTAAGAAAATTAGATTCCTTCGAATTTATTCACTTTTTCTTTATGTTTAATGACGCAAAACATTTTCAATTACACATCTTGATTAATGACCTTTTTCTATATATAAAGAGTAAAAAAATCTTTGCAAAGGTAAATTTATATGATATCTAAGTTTAGTATCTTGCCATGATAACAATGATGAACTGATTGTTGACCTTTTTTTTCTTTTTTCTAAAATTAACCTCGTAGACTGTTATCGATCGTATGCAGATTTTTATCGTTCGTTAAAGACAAATATAGGTATAGTTAATTAAAATTCATTTAAAGAAATAATTTAATTGATAGAATCATTTATGAAAGACGATCTGAAAACATTGTTGAGGTATAGAAATAGAAATTCTCACGCTCTAACAAACGTAGCCGCGAAACCAAAATTCATTGTTGAATTACCTTGAAAAATTATTGGTTTCACCTTTTGTCTTTCGTTTATTCATATTGTGACATATTATAATTAACATCATTTATCATCGATACATATGAATAGTATTTCAAAAATCGAAATATATATATATATATAACGAGAGATAAATATCAATACGATAAAAAAAAAACTCAAATCTAAACAGATTTCTACTCATTGCCAAATAAAAAAAAATACATATAATTTTCAGTTGTCATTTGAATGAATAATAATAAAGAAATCAAAACGAACTACGTACATAAATACATATAGAAGAAATTTTAACTACTGACATTTTCATGCCATATAAGTTAAATCCACAGTTGAAGCCATTTGGACACTAAATGGCTTCAAAATTTTGTTATTGTTGACTTTTTAATATAGGATCATGTATAAAGTTTCGTTTTGATTTCTTATTCTCTTAGATAACAACTAAAAATTATACATGAAATACGACACATAGTTTTATTACTTAATAACAGATAAAACTGATTTTATGATACCATTTATTAATGCTTAATACTAGTATTTATTGATCTTATCCATATGAAAATAAAACACTTTGAATAAACTTGTATCAAGAATCAAAAGATCAGTTCGTTTGATTAAATTGACCTGGAGATATTTCATTTTCTTCTTTTTTTTTTTTTTTGAATCGAAATGTTATTTATGACCTATCGTGTGTTTTGCTGAATTGCATTTATTACTGTATGTTAATCCCACAGGGATAGCACCAACAAATTTTTCTTAATTTGATCGAAATACAAAAAAGATTTATTATAATATGTGAGAATTATTCAAAAAGAAAATAATTTTGAAAAATTAAAAGAAAAACAATATTTAATAATAATTTAGTTTCATTTCGAAATACAATATAACACAATACAATCATAATTAAAGAAAGCTGTTATTCAAAAGAATGAAATTATTATGCTGTAAAAACAGAAAAAAAGCTGATAGCATAATTCTTTTAGGATTAAAACATAAAACTTTCTCTTGCTAATTACAAGGAGATTTGTTTTATTCTATCTATTTTGAAATGTACTTTTTAATCATCATTTTACTTAATTTTCTAGAAATACAATAAGAAAATAGTTCATATATTCTATCCCTATAGATTGATTGGCTCATTGTAATAAATTTAGAAACGAAAAGAATTTTAGTGAACGTTACATTATTTTCATTTCTTTTTAATCAATATAACAAAAGTTTTACATTAATATTTGTTTCTTCTATATTTCATGAGGGAAAGTATCTGATTGATCTCAGTGAGACTAATAAAATCCTGAAAGGATAAACACCTTTGAACTTCGTTTCCCAAGTTATGTATAGCTGTTTTGAAAGAATTTTAGTATATCAGAAAGCTATTGACGGAGATATCTATGGATTGAATTTCAATCTGATATTTTGTCGAAATCTACGTCTACTCGTCTTTACTAGAGTCTGAGAGTTTCGATGAAAATAAATACTATCTTCTCGAGATATGAAATTTACAAATATTGCCTAAGAATATTGAATTTTCTCGAAAATTCAAAACTTTACTAGGCTGTTATAAATTCATTAAAACAATCATAACTTAAGAAAAGAAGCTCAAGGCGTCATTACCCATCAAGATTATATTACTCACATTGGGGCCCACCTATAAGTAAGAAATCAGCTAAATACAATATTAGTCAGTTCGGAATCTTTCCTCATTAGTTTACGAACACTTTTGAATTCCACTATGTAACACACAATCTATGAAATTTTCCCGAAAACAAATTTATGTACTATTCATTATCCTTCATAATCGATTATCAATCCATCTAGTTGAATTAATAGATGTTAAACGTGTATAAAAAAAAAAAAAAAGACAAAGTTAAAGGATGTTGAAATGAAGAGAAGCCTAACACCTATACATTGTTAATCTCGTCATTTATTATCATATCCTTCAACTATACAGAAGAAACAATGAAAAATACATTATGAAACAAAAAACAAATTTTATTTTTTCATAAATTATTGTTTTTTTTTTTAATATAGGAGATATCGTTGATTATACTCGTCAAGGTCTTGAAGCTATTGTTGATGATGATGTAACTAAACGTTTTACATCTGCTGAAGAAATGGCTGTATGGAATTTATTAACACGTACTCAACAACAACATGAATATTTTTCTATACGTATAACATTACTATGGTTTCTTGGATTTTGTGTACGTTATTTTATATTATTTCCATTTCGTCTTTTTCTATTTATTATTGGTATTTCATGGATGATGGGATCAGCTGTATTTCTTAAATGTTTTCCTAAACAAGATGCTAAATTACGTTATGGTTTTTATATAAATATTGTTTTACATCGTATATTATCACGTGTTTTTTCTGCTATAATAACATATCATAATACAGAATATCGTGCTAAATGTGGTTCAATATGTGTTGCAAATCATACATCACCTATTGATGTTATTATATTATCAACAGATAATAGTTTTTCAATGATTGGACAAAAACAAGGTGGATTTTTTGGTATGGTACAACGAGCATTATCAAATACAGCTAATCATATATGGTTTGAACGTTCAGAAGCTAAAGATCGTCATATGGTTGCTGAAAAAATGCGTGAACATATTAAAAATAAAAATAATTTACCAATATTAATTTTTCCTGAAGGTACATGTATTAATAATACATCAGTAATGATGTTTAAAAAAGGTTGTTTTGAAATAACTGAAGCAATAATTTATCCAGTTGCTATTAAATATGATAATCGTTTTGGTGATGCTTTTTGGAATTCATCTAAACATGAATTATTTCAATATTTAATATTAATGATGACATCATGGGCGATTGTTGTTGATGTTTATTATTTACCACCAATGACAATTGAAGAAAATGAAACATCAGTTGATTTTGCTCGTCGTGTTAAAGCAGCTATAGCTAAACAAGGTGGTTTTGTTGATTTAGAATGGGATGGTGGTTTAAAACGTTCATTACCTAAAGCGGATTATAAAGCTGAAGAACAAAGAAAATTTTATGAAATGTTAAAAACGGAATAAATATGTCTAGTCGTATGATTTTGATCGAGTGAGAAAGGCTAAATTTGTTGTTTTTTTTCATTTGTTTTGTTTTCTTGTACAAAACAGTTTATTTTTCCGAGGAAGAAGATAAACATGTTCACTTTTTTTTTTTTTTTTTTGATGAATTCATTAGACATTTCCTTATTGTTGTTGTGTCATTGG